ATGATTAGAATGAAAGAACCCAAGGAATCTCATCTTGGTAGCAATGCAGTGGAAGATTAAAGATATATCCTTATATATAAAGATATGATATGCAGTGGATATGATATGATATTATATGATTGATGTTATATGATATGATCTCACATCAAACCATATCATCAAGATTAAGCTGCAGAGGACCTTCTTACAAGGGCATGTAGGGATAGGACAAGGGGCAATGGCTTTAAAATGACAGGGTAGGTCTAGATTAGATAATAGGAAGAAATTCTTCACTGTAAAGGCGGTGAGGCACTGGAACATGTTCCCAGTGAACTTGTGGATGCTCCATCCCTAGCAGTGTTAAGGCCAGGTTGGATGGGGCTTTGACCAACCTGATCTAGTGGAAAATGTCCCTGCTTATGGTAAGAGAGTTGGGATTAGATGATTTTTAAGGTCTTTTCCAACCCAAACCATTCTATGTTCTGTGATAAGTGTTGATTTGATATGATATATGATATAGACATGATACAGTGAAACAAGTTAATACAGCTTGACTTGCTTTTTTTGCATAAATAGTATAAGAGATGGCATTCACATCTCAAGGCACAGAATCTACATCCAGGAACTTGAAACAAGAATAAAAGAAAGGAAAGAAATAATGCCTCTACTTAAGGTAACTCATGGTACTTCACTGACAACAGGCTTTGAGGTAACTACCTTCAGCCTCGACCCTAGTGATTAAAAAAAACTTCTAGCACTGACCTGCTGGAGGAATACAGCAGAATGCAGAAGTGTTGGGATTCCACTATACTTCAACTGGTGTGTTATAGATGGAGCTTGTCACTCTGCAGCAGGAAATAGCACGGTCTTCCCAAGGCACTGCAGCCAAGGGTAACCCATAGCTGAGTCCAGATTTTAAAGATCTAAATGGGGAAACAAATATGACTGAAGAAATCCTGACTGTCTTTCTCAAGTCAGTACAAAACACTTGCACTTCCAAACAACACAGAACCCGAAGAACTTGTTTTGGAATTAAAAACGATCATAAAAAAGCTTGTGAGTAGAACAAGCACCTCTGCAAGCCAGTAATTACTAAGATTTGTGAACTCTGGGGGATTAATAATTTCTAGAGGCTGTTCAAAGCCAAAAGATAGAGACAAAATCAGACATAGGAAAACACCGGACGAGGGAATTATTTGTGACACCATTCAGTTGTGACCCAGTGGAACAACACCATAACCAGTTTCATATTTCCCAAATTAATGTCCCAAACATTTTTTTGGTAGGAAGCCACAAGTGAGAAGTCTACAAGTGCAGCTCTGCCAGAAAACAGTCACTCCAACAGATTGCTTCATGCCTTCTTTTTTTGCAATGAAAAATCTAACAAGGACTGTTATTTTAGCATAGAGATAAATTCCTCCTGATGGAGACAGAGAGGATCCCTTTATTATCCCTAAATCTTGTAGTAAGGGCAGCCCAGAGAGCAAAAGAAAATCAAAGGTCCTTAGACTCTGCTGCCCTCATGTTGCCTTTAAGTCCCTGGGCACAGGGAGACAAAGACCCCCTTGGCATAAGCCCACTAAGTGTTTCATGTTATTCTAAGGATGACTTGGCTCAGAGGAGTTTCATTTGTTGTGAGCTGCAGCAGAGTCTTTGTGTTGGTTTGGCTTTTTTTAAATATACTTCATTTATTTTCCCATCTTTGATGCTTTCCAGAACAGCTCTTTTCTCATTGTCAGCTTCAATTAATGATGTCCTGGGACTATGTGACATCTCCCTGCAGGCCTAGAACAGGCCTTTGCTAGTGCTGATCCTGGCTGTCACTTGCAGAAATTTTATTCCATTTTCCATACTTAAAATTGGAAGTTATATTGGAAATGAATGGCTGGCAATTTGGGGATAAAAATTAGAGTTCATTATATTCCTGGTAGTTATCTGAAAATATAGCTGGATATTGCTCCTACAGGCATGCACGTGTCCCCACCAGCCAGGTCACTACAGAGCAGGGTGACTCTGTAGCCTCCTCCATTTCAGGTAGCCAAAGGGGCAGGGCTAAGCTAGTGTGGTAATTCTGGTGCAGAGAACTAAATCCTAACTTAAGGCAAAATTGCTTCAAATAAAAATCAACACCAATCAAATTATAGAAGAGGTTAGCATTGTCCAGGTAACTGCTAAGACTCTTTTAATATCTTTTTAGTTTTCTAACTAAAGCAATTTAAACCTATCCAAGCTTGGCCAGCACTGGCCTGCTCGTGATTCATGCTGCAGCAGCTTGAGTTGGGCTTTCTTACACTTTCCATATGGGGATTCATCATTTTATGCCAGTAGGGAGAGAGTAAACAAAGTGTCTATACCTTGGTGAAGTCCATGGTGCTCTCCCTGCTGGAGAGTTAGATCCTGTTCCCTACCCTTTCCATCTGGACACAGCCAATCAAGGAGGACACTGGCATTGCTTTTGGGAGCTCTGCCCTCCTGCATTGCTCCTGTGTAGAGGAATTAATAGTTTGAGCACAGCTTATCCTTGGACATGTATATTGGGTCACTGGCAGCTGGGTGGCTACTTAGCACTGCTAGCTGACAAGGACAAATAATTCTGCTCATAGCTACCACTATCAGAAATATATTATACCTAGCTTGGGCTGCCACTAGGCTTGAACCTCAGTTTTTATAGAGAGAAGATGAATGTTAGAGCTTGTGTGTAACTACACTACTGCTCTTGACTGGCAGCTTGTAATGGATTTTACTACTAGTGTTGTTTTCAAGGCTTAGGATAAGAAATATGTATATATTTGCCATTTAGGACCAGCTCATCCATATATTTCTAGCTCTTCCTGAAGGAGGTACTTGTTACCAGAAAAGAAATCTGCAAGTCTCTTCAAAACTACAATAAATACCCTGCTCTGTAGTCTATAAGCTCAAAGAGCATTTTTCATCTTCAGATTAAAAATGTAACAGAAAAGCTTGTGGCTAAGGAGAATGCAAATGGGAGTGATGTAAAAAGCATATCTGAAATCAAGACACATTTTCTCTCTCATCACTTATGGTCTTCTCTGGCTAAAGATGTCTTATTTAAAATCTATTCTAGCTCTTTTTCCTTGTCCTGTCCAATCTGAACAAAAGAAAAGATGAAGTGGTTTTAAATGTTAAGACCATGATATTCAGTGCTGGCTCTGTTGCTAGAAGTTGAATTCTTACCCAATCCATTAAAGGGCACTGGTTTCCCATGTCATATCTAGTTTTGATCACAGCAGAGAAATGAAAAACAATAAAAACAGGCATAATGTGAAACAGATTTTTAGCTTTCTGCTTGATTTTTTTTTTGCATCAGTTTCTCACTTTTGAAAATATCTGAGTAAGAATTAACTTGATGTTCTGCAAAACAAGACCTTTTCTTTTCTCAGTTGCTGTAGGAAACCCTCACCTTTAAAACAAGATGCTATATAAATAGCAGTGTGCTGGAAGAGTGCTGAAGTGAACGGGGTAGATAGAGTTCCCTGTGGTGGCTGACTATATTTTGATGAGACACTTATGAGCAGATGCATTTCTAAACAGACTGTCTGAAGTCTTTTCTGGAAAATCTCCTTCCCCAATGCAGTGCATCTCACTTGAAGCATGTGCAAACTGATTCTAAGACCTAAGTCAATCCATCCAGGTGAAATTTCATCCCTCTAAAATAAAATAAAAAGGACAAAAAAGAAGAAAAATAAAAGGCAAGGCTAAGTAGTCAGAGAGTTGTAACTGGTGTAAAGAGTGTTTATAATGTCTCCTAATAAACTAAAACAGGAGGCATGAAGCCAAACTCATGTGCCTGATTAAAAACCTACTCAAGTGGGCTACATAAGTGGAGAAAAAGGTTTAAGCGATCTAGGGACTGAAGTTTCTATCCCACAGTTTTCCTTTAGTCCAGTATCAAACAAGGTCAAGACCACTGATGTGCTGAGTTACATACTGCATTAGCAACATCTTGCTTGCAGGCTTAGTGAGGCCTTGCTTACAGTAAGTTCCCTCAAGCAGAATCAGGCTCTATTCAATTAATTTGTTTCACTTCATAGTGCTACATAGTGATGACAAGCAATAAATGCTAAATTAGATCTTTAGTGCATAAATCATGTAACAGCATATTTAGAAGTGTCCCTCACAGCAAAGGCTTACAGGCAGCACTGTAATTATGCTGACCAACAAAGCAATGCTGTCCCAGGCTATAAGCTTGCATGCATGGTTATGATCAGTCTCCTGGAACACTGGCCCTATCAGGGGGGAGAGGAATTAAATATCTTTTCAAGTTTGAAGTCAGCGATCAAAACATTGTTCCACTGTGCATTCATCTGTCCGTGACTGCTTTGAATTACTCTGCAAAGGTAAATGAGCCTAGAAGAGAGAGGAAACAACTGCAAAGGCCTTGAAAGATGTATGTGATTTTTGCTGCGTTTTTGAGAGTTTGAAGATGTTATTTCACAAACTACAGGGTGAAAGTTCCAGGAAATCTTTGTTCGTAAGAGGAAAAAACAATCCAAACCTCAAAACCCTACACAAGACACAGCAGAGGGCAAAAAGGAAGAGGTAGTGTTGAAGGTTGAGGGTTTGGAGCAATTACACCTCTATCTGCAAACTCTTTCTGAAAGCTGCTGACAGCGCTTTGGCATCTGATCATCTCCTGACTGCTGATTAACATAGCACTGTTTTATATTTAACTCAGGCCAGAACAGGAGGGGCTGAGGGTGGAGTTGTGCTGCTTATAAGGGGAGCACGGCCGGAACAATGTTCTTCTGTGTCAGTTCCCTTCGTCTCCCAGCCCAGCTGCACTCCTTTTGATTGTTCACATTTCCTACAAGTGCATGTTGTCTTTAATTAATTGAGTGCCTCGTGGAAAGCGAGGTGTGGGAGACAGGCAGAGAGCAGCTATAACTACACCATTAAAATACAAACCAAGCTTGCTCAGTTTACTGAATGAAAGTGCTGAAGTGAGTAATAACCTTTCTCGTGGTTAATGTTTTGCTCTGAGAACAGACCCAGCAGCAGAGATGGAGGACATGGATTTTGAGGATGAGAAGTCCAAGAGGTACTGCATGAAGACAAAGCATGTGGCTATCATCTGTGGTGTCGTGGTCGTTGTAGGTCTTGCCGTGGGGCTTGGTGTGGGACTGAGCAGACCTAAACCTCTGCAACCTCCACAGGGGACAGATCAACCAACAACAGATCAGCCTCCTCCCCCAGTGGATTTGGGTTCCTGTCCTCCCAGAGATGATGAGACTGGAGACTGGAGACATTTCAGGCTGCCCACTTACGTCAAGCCTCTCCACTATGATCTGGAAATCAAGCCTGAAATGGAGACAGACATTTACAGTGGGACAGTCAGTATTTCTATTGCTTTGGAAAAATCTACCAGCTACCTGTGGCTTCACCTGCGAGAGACCAAGATTACAGAAATGCCCACACTCCGGAAATCTTCAGGACAGCAGATTGCACTGAATGACTGCTTTGAGTACAAGCCACAAGAATACATAGTGATGAAGGCAGCAGCAGAGCTCCCTGTCACTGATGAAAGTGATCCCTATGTGCTCACCCTGAAGTTTCAAGGCTGGCTGAATGGTTCACTGGTTGGGTTTTATAGAACCACCTATACTGAGAACGGACAGATCAAGTAAAGCAGTTTTTCTTTTATTTATTAAACTTTCTTCTCTGTTTCTACTTGCTCAGGCCTGCACTATTCCTCTTTCAGCATTTCAGTCTTGTCACTCACCAACTTGCTGACATTTCTGGGCTGTTCTTTAGCTTTCTCGCTCCCCTAAGGAAGATGCTATATTCAAAACCCTTTGGCTGCTGACTAGTGAATGTGGGCTGGAGAGATGAGGGGTTCATTTTTATTATTATTCTGAAAAACATTTTCAATCTCTGCTGGTCCCAGATTACCTTTGAACTTTACAAATGGCTCCCTCAGAGAGCTGGAGGGGTCCAGGCCTGTTTTTATTTCTGTAGTACAATAAATAGCATAGAACTATCGCCACTCTCTTCTGTCACTCCCCAGGGTAACACTTTTGGGGTAAAATGCTCTTCTGGTAGTTTTCCTGATGTCATGCCTCCTTGATGTCATAAGACTGAGGAATATCCAAACCAGAACTTCCTTGTTCCCCCTGCAGCTGGTTTAAATTAGGTGTAGGAAAGTCCAAAGAATTAAGGTAATCTTTGAATTGGTTTTTTTGTGCTCCATCTCTTCCTTTTTAATATATCAATAGGTATTGAAAAATTACAAAGCCTCTGCCAGTTAAGTTAACCCATTCCACTTGTCAGGTTTGCACTACTTCAAGGGGTAAGCTTGAAAAAGCCACTTCCCACTACTCAAAGGCTTTTCTTCACAGTTAATGTATGAAGAGGACACCTTGTTTTTCAGTCTTTACAGTTCTGAAGTGACTCATTCTGGCCCTTACAGGTGGAACATACACTTGGCTAAACTTTTGCAAGACCCTGTAGCAGGAACATAGACACAAACATTTGTGTGTTTTCATGGCACTTGCTTGGTCTCTTGTGACAATGGTGTCATGAATGAGAGTCACATCAGATCCATTCAATCACTGACAGGCAGTGTAAGGAGTTGCAGCAGTCACAGGGACCAGCAGCAGCAAATTCAAGAGGCAGAGGATAAAGCAAGCATTGATTTTTCATAGTTAAACATAGGTATCTGATCTGCAAAAAAAGCCATGTAGAGAACAACTCAAACACCAGATGGCTCTTTCCCAGTTTTCCTCCTTCTTCAGCACTGCTCTGACTTGAAGGTGCTTTGGTTTTATACTTTGAGCATCTGACATCTCCACAGCAGTTTTAAAGTGCAACCCCTTTACATCCTCCTAATGAGATGTGTTACTTCCTATTTATTGGCGAAGGATACAAAGATATTCAATTAATAGCCCCAGGTCTGTCATAACGCCATAACAGCAGAACCAGAACTCAGATTTCCTGAGGCTCTGACTTGAAGGTGCTTTGGTTTTATACTTTGAGCATCTGACATCTCCACAGCAGTTTTAAAGTGCAACCCCTTTACATCCTCCTAATGAGATGTGTTACTTCCTATTTATTGGCGAAGGATACAAAGATATTCAATTAATAGCCCCAGGTCTGTCATAACGCCATAACAGCAGAACCAGAACTCAGATTTCCTGAGTTGCAGAGCAGGAGAGGTGAGTGTCCATCCCTCAAATCCAGCCAGTATAGGAAGACAAGGACCAATCATCTGATGTCAGGAAGAAAGGAGAAATTCACAAACTAAAAGAAAGCATAAAATGAGAGCTCACTTTGACTGTTAATACTTCATGATTTGAATGCTGGAAACTACAATTCCAAGGATGATCCTAGACAGCAGTCTGAAAACATTTAATGCAGAAAGGAACTTGAGCCTGTGAGGGTTTTTGTGTTAGGCTTCAGAAGGGCTTTAATAAGAATGAGTGAATTGTGAATTTCAAAATATTTTTCATGTGGTTGAGTTTGGGCAGACTGTGGAGGTGGAAGAGGTCATATACATGACAGTGGTAAGTGCAGCTTTGAAATAAAAGCAACCACCAGCCAAGTGGTGCTGCAACCACCAGCCACATTGCCACTGCGTGGCATGAAGGTAGGTGATAGGTTGGGGTGAGGAAGGATGGCAAGGGAAAGGTTTTATTACTTATTAAAACTGCATTTTCCTCTGACTTTCTACTCAAAACCAATGCTGACTGTAATTAGCTTTTCTATTTTGCCTTTGCCTGAAGTAGACATCACTCTTGGAAAATTTCAACCCATATAGTTCCATTCTTGTCATATTGCAAGTAAATACAAATCAGATCAGATAATAGCAATGATCAAACAGGTCTATTAATAGTGGATGTTGAAGAGAAGGGGGCTGAGGTGAAAATGAGATCCAACATGTAATTAACCTACTCCACCATCCCTTCTGTGCAGTGTTAGAAGCAGCAAGACCTTTTGAGAGAATTAATAACACTGGAGAGTCAGGTCCCAGGGCTGAGCTGCTCCCCAGCTGTCTATTTGTGAAGCAAAGGTTTGCCAATGCATTGCTGTAATGCTTTTTGTTTACAATCTGGGCATACGTCCAGGCTTTGCTGTTACTTAGATTCAAATCTCCCACCACATTTTGTGGCAGAAAGGTAGACAAGTGCTAATCATGCCTGTAAGTCTGGGATCCTTGAGAGGTTTAGGGAGAAGAATGCCTCATTTGGGAATCCTGTTCAGACAAATTACACAATCTCCATCAGGACAAAAGTGGTTTTGGACATGCCCAGAAGCAGATCCTGAGATTCCTTAGAAGCACAACTATTTAAATTGATGTGCACATGCAGGTAGGGAACAGGAAAACAGAAACTTAATGTAGATTTTGGATACAGACATGCCTGGATCCTCCTGTGGGTTCCCAAATCCAGCTGTATGCATTTAAGTCCTTTAGTAATACTATTTCTCTGTGTTTTCATTTCATTTCCCCATTGATGAAAAGGGAATAACAGTTCTTCCCTACTCTACATGATGCAGTGAGCATAACTACATTACAATTGTATTTTCAGATATTAGGGAAAGGAGTGCAAGAAGAGCCCTTGCCTGGTGTAATGGGTTATTTCAACTCATTAGTTTCTCTCAAGGAATGTGCTAAAGTCCCCTTGTTTTTTCTCCTTAATATTGCAAATACAAACATGCCACAGCAGCTGGCTTGGATTTTACATTACTATTAGTGACAAGGTACAGCTTTCCTTCTATAGGAATTCTCTCTGTTGTCCATAAGAGGAGAACAAAAGGCTGAGCACATGGCTAACAGAGGGATTTGTATTTAGGATTTTATTGTATAGGAAAAGGCAAAATTTTCTTTAGTGCAGAGAAGTAGTGCTCCTGGTTTCTCACTCAAGGAGAAAGTTTTCTCAGAAGAAGCAATGAACCTGAATTTTAGGAAGGATTAGGAGAAAAATGCCTTAATTAGCTCAAGAGGAGGAGAGATTTTGTACTAATTCGGGGTTGGGGGGGGGGGGGGGAGAGGGGGAAGGAAAATTCATCATGGCTCTAAATGCATCACTGTTTTATTTTGAGAACAACAGCTGGATGCAGTCTCAGCCATGTCTTCAGTCATTATTACTATGATATTTACAACTGTCACCTCGAGTTCACATTTAAAGGTCTGGACATCAACAGCAAGTAGAAGAGCAGAAGCAGTGCAGTGAAGAAAATCTTATCTGAAAGCTACGTTATGCAGCTTGAAAGGAAATTACATTTCATGTTTCTAGTGCCACTTTATGCATGCCATAGTCTGGAGTTCTCATCATCTAGCCTATAGGAATGGTAGTGCTAAGGTTTTGCACTCCTAATGTCTGTCTCACTCCACATACATATGAGGATAGATGGATTATCACCTTACACCAACAGAGATATCACAGTGTTATCAGTCTGTAGGAACAAGACATAAATGTGTCAGAATACACAGCCAATTTTTTAATCAATAGCTGTGAAGCATTGCCTGGAGGCTTGGAGTTAACTGAATTGTCAAATAGCTTACAAATCCTACAAAAAGTAGAGAGTGACAGCAAGCAATGTACCAAGCGAAAGAAACTCAGTTGAGTCTGATGTTGTTAAGGTGAATGTACATTATGCCTTCTGCCCATGAACTTTTGAGTTACTATTCCAATGAACATGAATAGAGAGAATCCAGACATATTGCCTTCATCAGGCTTGTAAATGACCCTTGATGCTACAAGTTCCTAATGACCTGTTTAGTATCTAACCATCACAGGGAAATGCCAAGGGCAACAGAAACGTTGAAAAAGTAGTAGTCAAGTGAGCTTGTAGGATTTCTGCAGATCTGTAATTTATGATGTACACTTCTAATTACTTTTTGGAAAGAAAAACCAGCTTAATATTATTAGAGCAGCTGTAGAAGTGCTGTCAGAAAATGCTCGACATTCCAGAATAATTGAAGCAACATCTGTGATCCCTTTCACCATCAATCACTGAAGAATACACTGCCACTGTATGGTTCATTAATGTGGGAGTCTGATGGCACTGTGAGAGGCAATAGAATACACTCTGCCACTGTATGGTTCATTAATGTGGGAGTCTGATGGCACTGTGAGAGGCAAGGACATGATATGAGCATGTACAACCTTCACCTTGTATTTTTAAGTGACCCCTATCGCCTAGCTCCTTTGGCTCTTTTTGCATGACTGAGATTACTTTCTAAACCCCCCAACACCTTGTATAATGTCAGTTATGTACTAGGATATTCACCTGAACTTTCCATGCCTTCTCCACCAGTTTCACTAATGGGGTCAGGGGAGCATAACAGCACCAGCAGAAAACTGTATGTGGTAAATGCAGAAAAAGAAACACATAAGCAGGATGAGATTGTAGTGGCATTTACACAATTTCAAGATGTTGTCTCAGGAGAAACTCCAATCCCAAGATATGCAGTAGTGGATAGAAAACATATGGAGTAATTTGATTTCCTTTCAGGTGATGTCACCAGTAGTTTATTTTAGGTGCATAAATCAATGGAAATATTGGTCAGGAGGATGAGCAAAATATTTACCATCCATGAGGGGTCATGTCTATCTTATTGCCTGGCTCCTAAAAGTATTTGATGACAAGCAATTTGCTTTAGCTTTTGCTCTGAAACCTAGAGGATGTTAATGACAGACTTTGACTTATACATGTTACACATGCCTATGCAATGTCAGCTTGTGCATTTCTGATGTCACCTGCTTTTATGAATGGACAAGTATGCACAAATATTTGTAGATTAATTTAGTTTGTGAAATTACTAAAAAAATATGCTTGGAAATTACAGAGAGGATTTCAAAGCTATATAATGAAGGCTTGCTAATGTGTTGTTTTTTTAAGGAGCATTGCAGCTACTGATCATGAGCCAACAGATGCACGGAAATCATTTCCCTGCTTTGACGAGCCAAACAAAAAGGCAACTTACAGCATATCTATCATTCATCAAGACTCATACCAAGCACTTTCAAACATGCCAGTACAGGTATGTATTTCCCAACTCTGCTGCCTAAGTGGAATGGTTCTGGAAAGCCACTGGAAAGTTAGGTCCTTGTGTGTTCACAGATTCTACCACCCAGACACTGTAAAACTAGAACAGAATTGGTTGGTTGGTTAGGACTCATAGTGGTCCACCAGCACACAACATGGCAGTACAGAGTCCAATCCAAAGCAAAATCAAACATCTCTTCTGTTTTTAGCTAGCTAACCCTCTATCCAGGTATTCTAGGTGAGCATCCTCTACTAACTACAAATAGATAATGGCAGGTTCTTCAGCCAGACTGGGTGGACTCTGAGAAGGAATACTCTGGAAGTGGAAGACAGCTACTTCCCAGATGGACAGTCTAAAATCACTAAAACTACCTAATGGTCCAAAGTAAGTGTCTGCTGATCACAATCCAATGGTAAAGAATCCTGTAGCAAGAAAGTCTAGAATTATTACTTTCAATAATACAGGATTGGAAGTCCAATCTAACAGCTCATGGGTGTGGTGTCTTGCCATTCCACCATGTCTATAATTTCCTTAATGATCTATTTCTAATAATACAGGATTGGAAATCCCATCTAACAGCTCATGGGTGTGGTCTCTTGCCATTCCACCACGTCTATAATTTCCTTAATGATCTATTTCTGGACCTGTCAAATTCCAAGTTTTTTATGACACTCAATGGCATCATTTGTCTACCTCTGGGCCTTTTGGAAGAAGATTGAATGGCTTTCAGCTGAGAGAGTTTCTAATAAATAGTTCAGTTGAATGTGTAGTCCACTGTATAAGTTCTAATAATATGTGTTGAAGTAGGAGATTAAGTGCCAAGTTTAAAAAGAAAAAAAAAAGAGCTTCCAGCCTCCAGGCTGTTGGCATTTGCATCTTTCCAATCACTCCCCCATCCAGAAAACAAAGGTCTGCTTTACTGTGTACTGTTTTATTCAGAGTCCTCCCAAATGTTTCTCCTAGCAATGCAGCTGCGACAACTATTACCAATCTGATGCAGCTGCCTTCCATACCCTTTAAAGCTCCAATCCATTGTTATTAAAAAATTTCTTATGGTACCTGAAAGAGCACTAGGCACTGTGATGAACAGCACATCAGAATGCTGTACCTTTCCTCACATACAAGAGTTTGCAGGTTGGGTCATACAGTTCAGTTGAGAGTTAAGAACATTTGCAAAATAATTTAAGTTATGATCATCACTACATTTTATGTACATTTAAATAACACACCAATTAGTGCTCATTTGTATTTGAATGAGTTCAGAGAGATACATTAGACTAGTCTTTATCCCAAGTAGCATCTCTGCAATCCCTGACTCCTACGTGATGTATGCGTTTAAGAGAGGAGAGAATTCAGACTCTTCTCTGATCTTTTGAAAGTGATGTTATTTTATGCATCTCTTACAAGAAGAGAACAGACTAACATACACTGGAAAACTCCTGTTGGCAAAGTTCTTGTGCATGTGAATGATTTCAAATCCCTGATTAAAATTAGAACCAGGTAAACTTACTTAGTGCCGAAAAACAAACTCCCATTTCATGTATTGCAGTACTGCAGAAAAAAACATGTCTGTTCTTATGCCTTCAAGCAATGAGATGCCAGAAGAGGTGAACCTGGAGAGGTGATTTGTCCTTCCTATATAGCTGCAACCTTCATACAAATATTGCACCCTCGTCTGCATGTGTTTTCAGTTCCAAAAATCAAATGGATGTTTTTTCCATTTCTGCAGCAAACTGTACAGCTTGGCGGTGGCTGGAATCGAACGACCTTTGAGAAGTCAGTTCCCATGAGCACTTACTTGGTATGCTTTGCAGTGCACCAGTTTGCCTACGTGGAGAGAATTTCCGCTAGTGGAAAACCCGTAAGTCCTGCTGCAACCCGAACGTGGTCCAGATGACAGATGCACCTTGATTTGCATTTTTTTAAAAATCTTTTTATCTAAACAGGAACTTATTTTTCCATTTCCTATAGCCCATTTTATGCAGGCTATTTTGTCAGATTAGGTGTTCACAGTGGTCCCCCAGCCTTGACTACATGCAGTGTTTTGCATTCCTTTCCCGTCTCCCATCTCTGTGAGATTCCAGTCAGTATCTCTCATATGGGCACATGGGTGAGGAAGTAGCACTATTTCTGCAACTTCACCCCTGATTTGAAGCCTAGTGTCTGAAGGAATGTACAAGTCAAAGGGTACTAGAGACTCACAGGCCACGAATACAAATACTCAGAGTCTTCTGTGGGTTAAAAGGTGTGAGTCTATGTACTTGATGTTATTACAGCCATGGGGACACAGGACTACAGTGCTGTGTGTCATTATGTATTAGCTCTAATATTCTTTATTTTATAACCGTGGCTAAAGGCAACTGCCCAGTGTAAGTTCTTTACAAATAAGGATAGAAGTTATAGTGTCTGCCTAAACAGATGGATATTTGGTAAATACCCTAATAAACTGAGTAGGTTTGAATATGAATCCATAAAATTAAAATAATTTCTTTATTTAGATGCAATAGGCAGTCCAATCCAGTTCTTGCTTGGATTCAAATCTCCTGAAGGTATATCTGATCAGGCATAAAGGGATGACAAGACATTATGTTGAATCACAAACTAAATACAATTTGCCCCTCAACATAAACTCCTCATTTAGCTTAAACCTAGTCTGGGATGATTAGGCCACTGTTAATTATTTATTGGTTTAGATCTTTGTTTTCATCTGACACACAGGATGATCCCAGGGCTGTGTGCCCTTGCTGTTTCCCCTTCCTTTCCTGTTAGGGGTGTAGCACATGGTCTTGTAGTTCACCTGAGCTGGCAGTGCTTTCCTCCTTTTCTGGAGATAGTGACACAAATGGACAGGGAATCTAGAGCAAATCCCCAGCCAGGCCCTCTTCCCCTAGCAATTTAGTGCTTTCTGAGTTTCTATATCCAAAAAAACTCAGCAAATTCTTCCCCACTTAAGGCTGTCCACTGATGTGAAGTGGACATTGATGTGAAGTGGACACTGATGTGTCTTGTAGAAATCTCCAAAGTTCTGATTCAGATTTTAGCAAAGACTTCCTGGCATAGGGCTGTGCTGAGGCTTCCTCTGAGTCCTCACTAGCGTCATGCTGCATGCTGATATTATTTCTTGACAAATGACTAAGGCTAAATTACACTTAGCAAGCAAATGGAGCCTGGTTAGTGATGGAGATGTAATATTCTTCATTCCCTGCTGTTTGGCTGAGTAATTTGCAAAACAGGAGTACATTTTTTTAACCAGTTGTTCTTCAGTGCAGCTGATCCACTCACTATCAGGGACAGGACTTTGACTATTCAGCCTCGATAGATATTCACTAGAGTTTAGTTATTTTAAGAATCTGAATTTGTGAAGCTTTTTGTGCAGCACATAGTGCAATAGAGTAGGGGGAAAAAAAAGGTACCAAAGAAGTGTGTAACACTATATTCTAGATGCAAAAGTTAATATTCTCTGATTGTCCATGCCATGTTCCAGAGTATGACTCCGAGGTCAATATTTGTTGTTTCTTTTTCCCTAAGCAAAACAGCAAAGCCCACAATGTTCCTGACTGTTTGTAGCTTCTCTAAATAGAAGGGAGTGTTCAATGAAACATGGCAATTAAAGTGTGTGTGTGTGTGTAAGTTGGGATATTCATGTCAGTACAGAGGTTGCCTGAAGAAACATCTTCTAATTCAGGCCTTGGTTACTATGTGTTCTATTAATGCTGTTCACTAAACAATGTCTGAGGACTTGCCTGCACTAGAAAACTCGGGGTTTAAGTGAGGTTAAAATCATAACTTTTTCCCTTCTCTTAGCATGGGCATAGTTTTACCAATATAAAGTACATGTGTGAGATTGTTTTTAATTAAGGGAGTCACATAATCTCCATCACTAAAAATTACATTTTCCCCAGGAAAACCAGCCTATTTTTTAATTTTTTCATTAGTTTTTTAATCAGGTATTTAGAAAGTCATTCTTCTAACCTTTCCATGGTTTCCTGTCCAAGAACCTTGAAGCCCAGCTGAGGTATTTAGATTCACCAGCTGCTGAAAAGAACATTCCATAGCTTTCTGTGTAAACTTCTAGTAATAAATCCCTCATCCAGAAGAAAGTATCCATGAGATTCATATATTACTTTCAGAAACAACAGCAAGAGCATACAGCTCACATAACATGGTAAATTATTTTAAAACTCTGCCATTCTCTCTGAAAGCCCTAACAAAGACATTAATGGAAGCAATGCCTACAGCTGGAAACAACGTTCCTGAGCTGATTACCACTCAGGTACCAAATGTCTGGTTCGGAAAATCACAGATTATACAAAAGAAACCCAAAGTGCATGCTGAATGTTTTGGAAACCATTAATCTGGATCAGCTAGGGAACTGAAGACTGCTAAATTGGGTAAAGAGCTTACTGAAGTGGAAATTGCAGATCATAATTGCAAACTGACCCTGGGGGAAATCCCCTGGCTGGAATGGATTCCCAATTGAATTTCATAAGCTTTTTTTGGTTTTGATTTTTTTTTCAGCTTTATTTTTGACCACTTTCCCATCCTCCACTCTCATTGGAGGAAGTATAATTTCATGGTATTGAAATCAATGTGTTCTCAGGCTCCAAGGGGGCTCCTAGAGTAAACCAGCTCCTTTGCTCAGCTTGGGCCCTAAACTCTTTGAGGAGTAAACAAACCACACCAACATAGGCAGAAGAATGTGGCCCATTCGTAAGAGTCACAAAGCCTGCAAAATGAGATAGATTGGTTTTCCTAAAACCTGAAACTTCACTCCATGCAGAGATCTCTTACTTTCCACTCTAAAGATTTTCAGGGACAGTGAAGAGAACATCCTACAGCTCCTGCAAACCTTGGGACAAAGAGATTGAGGGAAAGATCCCCAAAAGACTCCATAAATTCTGAAGTCAAACTTTGTCTTCACAATGTGGAGATAACATCCCAAAAGGTTTTTTCAAGCTGTAGGCCTCCTGATCATGGATATGGGTGCCATAAAGACTCTAGTCCTACAGAGCCTGAGGTTTCACCATGGATATGGGTACTATAAGGACTCTAGTCCTACAGAGCCTGAGGTTTCCTATTGTTTGACAGCAATTAGGCAAAGCAGTTCCAGGCACTGAGCCTCAGGGATGGAAAGGTCAAAATTCAACACACATTTTTTTGCATTCAGATATGCAAGAGGAGCACAGAACTGGTCACTCATCACACACAAGGCTACCAAATGTGCCAGTTTTTCTGAACCTGCCAGGTGGAAAAAGAAAAAGCTGATTTTTGCCTGTGATTTCCAGGGATTCAGCAGCCCAGCAGGCACCATAGCCATGACTGGGTGTCTGTATCGTGATGTCTGATCTGTACAATCTTCAAACATACAAGGACAAGAGGAAACTATGATGACAGAGGGTAGGAAAGGTAGGAAGAAGTTGAAGAAAATAAGATTATGGGCTTCAGACACATTTCAGTACAGATGTGCTCCAAATGATTGATCTAATGGAATCAGTCAAGATCAGTAAACTGCTCAGAACAAGTGGATTCTTTCTGATTGTGCTTGCCCAGGTTTCCTTCTTGAGAAAACCAAGCCTTGGAGAAGTAGGCACTGCTATGCATCCAGGCCCTGCTCCAAGCTTGACCACTGTGAGCTTCTGGACACGGGTCTTGTCAGTTTTACAATTTAGGCATACTGTGGAAAGCATGCACAAATTATGTTAACTTGGTCTCTCTTATGCACAACATTTGAAAAACTTGGTTGAATAAATGTGTTAGGGAACAGAATTCAGTGTTCAGGCCAGTCTCTTGGAGAAAATCTGCAGTGTTATAGGTATGTATGCTAAATGCCTTTTCAATGTTTGACACCTCCTAATTTCTTTTAACTGCAAACTGCTCTAATTGTCTCTCTGTATTTTACAGCTGAGAGTTTACGCCCAGCCACTGCAAATAAAAACGGCAGAATATGCAGCAAATGTAACAGAAATCGTATTCAATTTCTTCGAAAAATACTTTAATCTGAGCTATTCTCTTCCAAAACTAGGTGATTATTAATATTTATATTATTCATTTTGTTAATTCAGTGTCATGGTTATGTTGCTCTTACAGGTCTCTTTGCTTTGGTAGAAAACAGCATGAAAGATTTGGTTGCTAATTGCTGATGTTATGTCAGAGTGTTTTAAAGCTGTACCAATGTAGTTCGAGATATTCCTAAATGTCATGATGGGAGAGTTGACCTCAGTACCCATTTAGTTACCAATTCTCACAGTTCAGTTTGTTGAACTGAAGCACTGGTCCTGGCATGGTTAATTTAAAGTGTCTTGTGGAAAATTAGGGGAAGTATTGGCATCACCAGCGAAGGAACATGTTGAGTTTAAACAGAGCCAGAAGTTTCAGAAAAATATGTACCACTCCCATGGGAACTTCTGGACAAAAGTCAGCAGTGAGATAGGTGAAGAAATAAACTGCCAGAGAGCATGTCATATTATTTATCAACCTTAGTGCAAAGTGTGTGTGTATCCACTTCTTAGAAAGATGAATATGGTCCAGCATATAATTTGTAGTTTCTACTGCTGGGCTAAATAAAGACCCAGAACTAAACGAGAATGGGCACACTCTCAAATTTTTGCCCATGGTTACAAAACAAGCAAAGGGGAAGTAGTGCATTTGGGCATCCTTTAGCTCAGAATATCTGAACTCTGGATCTGATTAGTTTGAACTAATAAAGTTGGAAATGTAATCAGAGTTCTGGAAATGCCCCCTCCTAAGACCTTCAAAAAGGTAATTCAGTTAGGTTCATGAACTTAAAAGGATGGAAAAATACTAACTGCAAACAAGTGAAGGCAACGTAATGGGGAAAAAAATCCCCCAAACTTTGAAGTCAATTAATAATGCTATGCAAACCTTTTATTGGCTATTTGTACATGTACCCATCAGGCTAATTTGTATTACTTTAACAAAGTATTTTTACCTCCTCCTTTCAAAATATCATCTGAGTTTACTGGAAATATCTTTTCACATTTCAGTGACAACTGAATTAGGGAAACAAGTACAATATGTTATTCTTTCACCCACTTGTCCCCAGTAATAACAGGGGCTATATCTCACCTATGCTTCATATTCAAACTTTCATTTCTGTGAAAGCCTGATGACTTTGCCATGGGAACATATGGATAAGGGCCTGTCTGTGCTATAGAGGGGACTGGTATCCCCAGGTCAGCAGTACCAGAGGATAGATGCTTTTGTAGATTTTCAACAGTTTTTCTCATAATATTTCTTTGTTGGATCACAAATCTTGACTGACGATGTTGTTCCCTCATAGAAGACATCAATGTCAAAGCTGGTGAATCAAATATCTTTGTGCATAATGGTTTAAATATTGGGTTTAACAGTGATTTATGGCTTCTGGAATTGCCATTCTCCTTGTGATCCTCATGTTGACTATCAGTGAAACCCTTGCCAGATTATCAGCTTTGATTCTGTAATCAAGACGTTTAATTTAAAATAGATGATTCCTATCTTCTGTTAGGGTAGGGTGAGAATTGTTCATGCTATTCAGTTTTAAATCCATCCATTTTTCACTAACCTACACAGAAAGGCTTTGGTTGTTACTTGCAGAAGAAAATGCCAGTCCAATTGAGAATGCAATTCTCATTTAAACCTGTATTGATTAGTGACCATAAATAAGTGACCCCCACAAATTGCCAGGCATAGAAGCAGATGTTGTTCACTGCATGGGGGATTTACTTTCGTTAACATGTCAATAAATATTGTTAATACAAGACTGTGACAAACAATGTCATGCCTCATTATGCTACAAATAGTTTCAGGAGGTTTACTGCCTACAGCACATCCCCAGACAATAGCATTAATTTCTGGAGCCAAAATTAAGTAATGTATGATATGCACATTCCCAGGAGGTGGTAAAGCATCACCTCACAGGACAGATCCTCAGCTAGTGTAACTGGTCCTAGCTCTATTAATCTCAGCAGAGCCAGGGCACTTGCTATCAGCAGCTGTAGGCCAGTTCCTCACATCTTAAACACAGTCCACAGTAGTAAGACAGAATCACAAATGGTAAACAACACAGGCTGTAAATACAACAGAGAGAGGAAAAGCTAAGTGGCTTAAAGGATACAGTGGTAATCATGTTCTCTTTCTTTCAATACAGATAAAATAGCTATTCCAGATTTTGGAACAGGTGCTATGGAGAACTGGGGACTGATCACATACAGGGAAACAAATCTGCTGTATGATCCCAGAGAGTCAGCCACTTCCAACAAACAGAGGGTAGCTGCTGTGATTGCCCATGAACTCGTTCATCAGGTACATTTTAGGACATTGTTCATTTTTACAGTGATTCAAATAGGTAGTCCCAATATTTTAATCTTGAAAATACTGTCATTAACTCCATCTCAGGATCTTCTGCATGTGTTCACAATCTGATTGCAAATATCATGTTAAAACAGATCCTCATTTAGTGCTTTAAAGTACTATGACTACTGCCTTGGAATTTTTCTCAGGAAGTTATATGCTTGGGCTCAGACTGTCAGCCAGCTTATGAAAATCTGTCTGAAATGGCTTAAAGGAACTAATTTACATGTGCAGATGTCTCTTTTGGGCAAGCAAATAGGGACAACTATACACTGTGGAGGCTGTCTGAAAACATATCCTTACCAGCACAAGTCATCAAATCAAGAGGAAGAAACTAAAAATATTTATAGTGGCATGTGAATCATTAGCAATCTCCCCAGTAATATGTAATTTCATTATGAAAGTCATGTTTTAACACAAGGCGAGGCCTGAATTCATATTTACACCCCAGAATTATGGTAATTTTCATCTTGCAACAGGAAAAAGTAAGGAAATGAATGCCTGTGGAGATATGAGATACTAAAATGGGCATTTACTGTTTAGCTAACACTACATCTTTATGCTTTTGATTGTAGTGGTTTGGAAATATTGTAACCATGGACTGGTGGGATGACTTGTGGCTAAATGAAGGATTTGCCAGTTTTTTTGAGTTCCTGGGAGCAAATGAAGCCGAACGAGATTGGGATATGGTAATTATTTCTGTCTTGTGGAGGGTTGGTGGGGCTGAGAGGGGCATTTTGGAAGGGAGTAAAAACTAGACAAGGATGATGAAGTGTATTTATAGAAAACTAGCAGTGCAGTGCAACATAAAGAAAAAGTTGGTTCAAGCTTTTCCACCTACCTATGTTATGGTCTGAAACTAGTCAAAGTAAACATTGTAAAGTTTTACTCTGCAGGGAAGAGTCATTCTCTTTTAATGTGTGTTTGGTTATTACTATGGAAAATAATACCTAGGTGGATTCTTGACAGAGCCTTAGTAATTTTACAAGGTCATTTAAAGCTCTAGCCCTGAAAGATGGAGATTCTTCTGTATTTATTTAGTTGAGCTGTACTCTCTTCACTTAGCTTAGGATCGTTATGCAATCTGATGAGGGTTGGAAACATGTGCCTGTCTCCACAACTTGGGCTATTCATCAAGGAAAATGTCAGACCCCCCATTCAACTTCTACCAGCATTTTGCATGTAATGTCAAATGCTCCAACTCAGACAATCTCTACTCTGTGCAGTACAAAAACAGGTAGTGACAGTGGATGGCTTACAGTGCTAACTGTGCATCTCCAGACACATTAAGGGGATTGCAAAGAGGGTAGCCTTACAGTTGTGTTATACTATGAAGAATGATAAATGTGTGAATACAAGGAGGTTTCTTGCTCCTTTCTTCCTGCCCTCCTAAATGGATGTCATGGCACATAGCATGCATATTTGCCCCAGCTCTCCAGGTATAATGAGATTCTGGCTACTAGAAAGTATACAACATGTGCCAGTGGATGCAAGTAGGGTAGGTTTTGCATAGGTTGATACCATTGTCAAAACCTACTAGCCCCTGAGCCTAGAGACTTCAGAAGCAGTCAGTGCCTACTTAGAGCTTTCCCTGCCTCCCTCCCTACTCCCCAGAAATATCTCTTTTAATTTATATTATGTGGGGCTGAGAACAAAATCATTCCTGGGTTGCTTTTACACATTGAAGTAGAAGATCTGTTGTCCTAAGTAAGGAACATTTTAATTACAGAGTTTAAAATTTAAAGACCTCTTTGTATCTAGATGTTATCTTCATTTCAGGTCTAGAGACATTGCAGTGTTATCCTAGTGAGTATTAGAAAAGGAAAACAAAATTGAAATATAGTCTTTTTTTGGTCAATATTGATTAGGAAGTAAGGGAATTTTGACTGCTGGCCACTTAATCTTTTTTTCTTAAATTAAAAGCACTTTTTAAAAAATTATAAGCCTTGTGGGATAGGGAACACTGCCTCCTTCTTCCTTCCCTCTCTTCCTCCCCAGCTTCATTTTTGCAAGAGGAGATATTTTGCAGATATTGTCACACTGCTGAAATTGGTAGCACATGCTACTTATTTTCCCTGCTGGGAGTGCAGGGACGATGGGCTGGGTGTCATGCTATAATACGTACAGGAATACAGGATTTGCAAGAGGCAATTTATCGTAGTTAAGGAAAAATTCTTTCTCTCCCCTCACAGATGCAAAGTAAAGGTTTTCAAGTCCTTGTTTAGAGGGCATAAAATTTCATTCCATTTCCAACTGTTTCTCCCTAGAGAAGCTGCAGTTCAAGCCACTTATTTGAGAAGTTAGGCATATACTCCAGCCTTTGTTTCTATTCTAATGCCTTCTCTTTCTCAGCTTGAACAGGTTTTAATTGAAGATGTGCTTCCTGTACTGAAGGATGACTCTTTGCTGTCTTCCCACCCAATTGTGGTTGATGTGTCATCTCCAGCTGAAATCACCTCTGTGTTTGATGGGATATCCTATAGTAAGGTAGGATATCTTTCTGTTGTGACTTTGAATGCAAAGGAAGTGGAGGCTTTGGAGAGGAGATAAAAGCCAGGGATGCTCATAATTATGACTCCTAATCCACTTGAGCTGTCTCTGTGAGGATCTTTCTTCTAGGTCATTCCCAACTGTTGTCAGTGATGATGCAGTCAAAAGTAACTGAGAGGAGCAGAGCAGCCAGAGCCTTGGTCAGCCACTCTGTACCATGCAGACCTGCTCACAGCACGCAGAGTTGCAGAGAAATCACAGTGTCAGCAGCTTCTGCTACTAAAATTGTCAGTTTTAAAATGAAACCAGATACTAAGCACATACCTCTCCCATCACCTCATGTGCTGATGCAGCCCAGTTATGTCAAGCCTCATAATCTAACACAAGGGCAGATGATACAAGGTCAGATGTCCATGTACCCTCTCTCTCACTGCTCCATCACACTTCCAGGCCAGTATAACTTCTGTTTTGAGGAAGAAAGCAAGCAAAAACAGGAAAGTAACTTTTTAACTCATGTTGCACTCAGTATCCCAGCCACACAAAAAGCCTTAGCAAAGGTTCACTACATCAGCCTCTACTGGCATTGGCCCTAAACTGACAGATGAGTTAGCTCCACATTTCTCTAAAAGTTGCAGAGCTCAGGACTGCCTTAGAGTACAGTACTCTGTAGCCCAGGAGGTGGTAGAGGACACCCTGTTAGATTTATATTTGACAAAGATTTTGCTCATCCTGTCTCTGTCAGCAGTGGTGGGGGCAAAGCCTACAAAGGTTCTCTCAGGAGCTAGCTGGAACTGACTGGAAAAATACCCTGGGTGTGTCTGAGCAGCAAGACACTGGAACACTGGTGTCACCAAACCATTGCTGTGACCAGAGTGCACAGAGACCTTCCTGGGCCCATGGCCTCAGGTAGTAGCAGCTGTGTGGGGCACCAGCCAGGAGCTTAGCACTTGTGGAAAAGTTCTGTGAGGTCCAGCACATAAGGGACACCAGCAGGCATGCTTTGATGTGGTCAGCAAGATCCAGGCTAGGAGGCTGAAGCCAGCTTGTCTCCCTCCATATCAGATATACCCAAAGCCACTTTGTCCTTAGACCTGGAACAAAGCAAATGTCCCTGCTGTATTTCATCAGGGAATCTCTTGACTCAAGTGCCCTGACAACACTGCTCCTAGTTATTTTGTTCCATGCATCAAGAGAGAAATTTGAAGAAGCACAGGAGGAAACACTCCTGTCTCTCTTCCCTCTCACCACCACATGCCACCAAGGCAAGGAAGGAGCTGGGTCTCTGCTCACTGTTCTCTTCAAACAGCCATCTCCCATGTTGTTTCTGAACCTGATACACCATATGTGACCGACAGTATCTTGTATAACTCCATCAGTGTTTCCTATCTGATGCTGTAACAAGTTTCCACTGAATGCACAAAATCCATCATTATTAAATACTGCTTGTTGCTTTGCCTGTATGCATTGCATAGACTTTAGCTTTAGCTGTGCTATGGTCTGTAACTGTAGATACTACATTTATTAGCTAGATTTGATCTGTGCATTTCCATCAGTTTTCTGTTTTCAATTGTTAAATTCTCTCTCCAACAATACAAGCAGTATTTATTGCATCATAAATGCCTCACAGTCAAATCATAAACCATATGAAAACCTGCATTGTGTAACACTTTTTAAATCAAACTAACAAAAGCCATGAAATATACAGAGCTAAATCAAATACTCTGGACCAAAATGTATTTTAGTGGTGAGCTAAGCAAGAGACACACTTTTGCAGGGTCCAAAAAGCAATGGAGAAAAAAATTCTAGCTTTTACTCATCTCTTTGTGCCTAGATAATTGCTACATGAACTCTTTTCTTTTTTTTAAAGTGAAAACACTTGAGGACTTGTGCATTGTTTGGGAACTGTTTGCTTGGGATATAATTTGGCTTGGGATATAATTTGGCTTGAAAGAGAAAGTCTTTGCGTAGATTTAGCTCAAATTACTGTTGGTATTTATATATAAATGCATGACAAAATTAACTTGTTTCTTTTTTACTTTATTTTGGCTTCTCTTTTGCATTTTTTTTTACAAAAACAATCTCCTCATGATAATATTCATCACTAAACAAATAAAGCATAATTTGGAATGCTCTCTGTTAGTTTTACCAGAACAATTACAGGGCTTATACAATCCTAAAACTCTAATGAATTGCCTAAGGGCCTATGGAGTCATTGCAGTGTATTCTGTAAGGGAGACTCTAACTGCTGTGTGATTAGTAGGGCATTATAGGCCCAGGAAAGCTCTACTAGAGTAGAGCTGGTGAATAAACAATAAATGTATATAACTTTTTTTAATCTGCTCTTAAATGTAATTGCATTTCATCTCTTTTCCAGTTTAATTTTCTGTCTTAGTTTGAAAGATTTTATTAAAGCAACAATGAGATTTTTTTGTCTTTGGAGTTCAGACACTGAGAACATTTCAGAAAACAGATACTTAAATAAGTTCTGCTAGAAATTTGCTCTTGGACCCCATATTTTTGGAACCTCTTAGCTAAAGTAGTTTAGGATTCATGTTCCACATTTCTGCCACAAACAAATCTTGTCATGTACTTGGCAATTACTGTGAGTCTCTAGGAGAAGCTATGTGGGTGTTGATAAAAGACTCCCCCCCCACATGCCCATCAGAGAAAGTCAACTATTCAAATCAAGGTCACTTTTCTGAGCCTCCCCAGGTAGTTAAAAGACAGCAAAGTTACTAAAATACTGGAGGTCCTATAACAGTGATTTTGTTAGGAAGACTTTTTCTCAAACACACTCCATCATGGACTACAGAGGAATGACAAGTGTAGGGGAAAGAGACTGAAAAACAGTAGTAGAAGATGCAAGGAACTAAATATACATTGCAATTTAAAGCAAAAGGAATCTCCACTGTTCCCAAATGTAGGTATAAGTGTGTGTTTCTACTATGACTTTAAATATAAGTGGGAGGGGATGTTTGATGAGAAGTGATATCATACAAGAAGTGGCTGAGAGACAAAATTAAGGAACTGAGATACTCTAGTGCAAATCTGTGGTCTTAAAATCACCATTAATCATAAGCAGCTCTATGATTACCACTAATGGATCACAGAATCACAGAATCACAGAGGACAGTCCAATGGAAGGGGCCCACAAGGATCATTGAGTCCAACTCTTGGTCCTGCCCAGGACATTGCTAAGAATCATAAATCTGTTCTAAATCTTACTGAGTTGTAGTTAAACATGTTTTGTGGCAAACACATTAAATTTCTGTATTGGAGAACAGTCATCTGCTGACCACCTTGACCCTGCAACAATAGCCTGGAAAGCAGTTTGAGGCATATCTGTTCAAACAGTCCCTCTGCCATTACTTGTGCAGTCATTATTCTCAGGCACAGAAATAGAGGAGAAAGGATTTACTGAGAATTCAGATTACATTCTTGTTTTCATGGGACAACTGGATTTTTAAACCATTCACAGCATTAGGCTCTCAGCTGCCCTTTGATTTAGTTCAGAAAATGAAAACATGCTAATCCCAAAATCGTATTTTGCATTTTAAATTGGCTTTGCACTGCTTTTTTTTAAATAATTTTGTGCCCACTCTCTTCTTTGTTCCATTTGACTCTTCTGCTTCTCTCTCCTGTCTTCCATTTGTTTCTTTCTTCGCTCAAGATCCTAATTGTTCGGAGTTTTTTCTATGACATCCAAGTAGGTAATTTTTCTGATCCCAATTCTACCTTGCTTCAGAGGCCAAAGTTCTTACACCAGTCCTCAGCAAATCTCATTCTGAATCTTGAGATGACATCCCCAACATGTAACATCACAGACTTGCAGCATTTTTGGAGTTCCCTACCTGTTGGGTGTTCAGCTGAGGTCACTGCCTCTATCAGGCTGTTCCCCTGACAGGGCTAGTTCCTAAACTGTCCTCAGCCCTGCCATGTTCAAAATGCCACAGGAAGCCCTACTCATACCAACTGGCAGAGCAACACAAAAGTAACCCCAACAGCAAGGCTCAGGAACCCTTCCACCCAACACAACTGAGCTTAGAAATGAGTGTTTGATCACAACTCACGACCAACTCTCACATCCAGAATTAAGCTCCACCAGGTCAGCGGGCCATGGCATGAAGGAATTAGCAAAAACACTTAGTCAGATGGATGGTTTCTATTCTTGTCTTATAATATATTCATTCACATGATGCTTTTTAGATGAACTGAAATCCAGTGTTAAAGCAGTGTGGAATGACCTTCTTCCCTTTCCCTTTGTCCTCAGGGTGCATCAATCCTCAGAATGATTCAAGACTGGATTACACCAGAACTCTTCCAGAACGGCTGTCAGGTATGTGTGGCACCAAAACACACCAGAAATACAGCCCATCCTCAGGTGACAGTAGCAAAGCCATTATTCAGAAAGTGACTATCAGAAATCCTGGTATTAGTAGCAAAAGTAATTAATGCATTTCCATACTGAGTGGACAATATGGGGGGGGGAAGAACTTCCATGCTCCCATAGAAGCTGGAATGTGAACCACATTAAGATTTGATAGCCTGCCAGTGAGGACCTAAACTCACAACAGCTTTTAGTTGAGAAAAAAACCTCTTCCCCCCCACTGTTATCATGTCATCAGCTAGGATCCCCTCATTCAGCTGTAAAGTATGTCTGCAGCTTCATATGGCCAGGATGCTCCAACCCACACAAGGCTGTTATGCAGGAATACTCATACAGGCACATCTTGCCCTGATGCAGGGACACTCAGCCCTAGAAAGCCAAGGTAATAGGGAGTAGAAAAGTGATATATTGCACAGTTCATAGTCCTTTCTTGTGGAGGAAAAACGTGATACTGTAAAATTATTGAAAGAAAACATGGGAGAAAGGAGCCCTCCCAGGGAGAGGAAAGTTATTTGTCGTTTCCTCTGGACCATCTTTGCTTGTCTCTGAAGAGTTATGATGCAGGTTTACCACATTTTTTCTTACTTCCTTCCCTCCTGGAGAGCACATTTATGGGCTGCTACAAGACAATTGTATTTTCCTTTATTTCCCCTTTCATATATTCAATCAGGATAGTTACACAAGATGGGAGAGTATAGCCACCTTGTCCCCAAGAGACTAACGCTTTCTGCTCAAGAGCCTTAAAGAGCATTAACGTAGGCAGCTGTGGCCAGCAGCATAACAAACAGCACCATCTACTGCCTGAACATCACCAGGGTCAGGTAACGGTAGGAAAGCACATGCTAATAAGACACGGGACAGGAATAGGGTTTAGGCAGTGCAAACATTTCGCTGAATACCATAATTCCTAGTAACAGTCGTTTGGATCACATCTTAGAGGTGACCAGACACCTCTTCCACTCTGAGCCCACAGCTAGTGAAATCTCCTGAAATACCTTCCTCCTGCTAAACAACCTCTTACATTAGACAGAAATTTGCAACAGGGTATGCTGATGTCCATTCAAACAAAATATAAAGAACTCTTCAAATACAAATTTATTGCATACTAACAAGTTGCACAGGAAAAGGCTGACTTTTAGCATTATGAGATGCACTGGAGAGTGAAGGACTTCATCAGCTGCATATTGATCCATTTAACCTCCTACTTATAATACTACTGCCCATGGGTAGATACTCTGTTCAACTGATTGGTACCCTCTGTACTCTCTGTACCTCTGTAAAACTGAATGTGTGTATTGTTTGTATAGGCAAAGAAGAAAGACCTGGTAATATTTTCACAGTCTTACACTTCTCTCTAGGCATATTTGAAGAAATACCAATACCAGAATGCCAAGACACAACAATTTTGGGAGGCTCTGGAAGAGGTATGTTTTGCAGCAGCCCAAACTCCAGCTAGTAAATGTTTCATATCTCACCCACCGATTTCAGTTTCCCAAACTTTTTACATTCTGTAGCTCTTCTGTCAATGAGAGATCACAAGCTAGGCAGCCTCCTGGTATAATCCAACATAAAATATTTCTAGCAAATACATATTATTTTCTCATTTTTTGGCATGACATTGTGGGATTGGAATAAGAAACAAGAAAGGAGGCCTTTCTAACAAACAGCCTGCTGCTGAAATATTACCTCTGCAACTCAAACTCATTTCATGTGTGAAAACACCTCTCATCCACCACACATATGCATCCTATACTCTCCCTTTTCTCTGACCAGATTCAGCGGTTTGAAAGTTCTCAACAGTAAAAATTCTCAAGTAATTTTGGTGCTTATCTCCTGATATTATTTCCTTTCCTTCCACCACTGTGAAACTCACACAGCCCAAGTTGTGCTTTTGTGTCTCTTTTCTGGTTCTGGTTCCCATCTTCTCCTTGGCCCCAGACTTCCTGCTCAGCAGTACATCTTCCTACAATCTCACTCTAGTGCTCTGCATCTTTACATCATCTGCCTCATCT